TGGAGTTCCGATCATATGCAGATGTCCGTTCATACTACACGACCGAAAGCGCGTGTTATGTGACCATTCATGCAAACTGTAGCATCATGCTAAAAAAAGACAATAAATAAGATTTATATTCCACTTTTACTCAAAACTCACTTTAAACCACCATCGAGTGTTTGTAATAACTTCCGATTGCCGTCTAATGTGTGTTTTGGCCATGTAATGTTGCTAAAATTACATATGTTATTACCTATGACTCAGAGTCAGAGCAGCGATCATGGAAGAGAGAACACAGGCAGACAGCGCTGGAAGCTGCTAATGCTCATCAGTAAATCAGTGGAAAATAAATAGAAATCATGATTCTGTCTGAGTTGCGTTTTAAAACGAACACGCACTAGTGTAAATGTAGCTTAATAGATGTGTAAATTGAAGACTATTTGAGCTTTATTAAAACTATTTGCACTGATTTATTGTGTTGGTTACATTTTGTTCCTTTGTGCAGTGGCTCAGAACCGGTATCGAAGTCAAGGTATCGGTATCGATATCGGAAATTTTTTTACGATACCAGCCCTATACTGAATATAATAATTTTCATATATAGTAAATTGCTTGCGCCTCAGAGCGAGCAGACGAAACACAATAAATGCTACCATTGCTTTCTAAGGTGGATGCCTGCTGTTTTGGAACGCATTCGTGTCAGACAGTTCTGGGAGGCGATTATACAGAAATAGTTTAATAACGGACTTTGCTCAGGCTTTTAAGAATGACTGTAACATTTCAGATGCTGTGAAACGAGATCGGCCCGCTGGTTAGTCAGGTTTTGCCGTCCCATAGCGCAAAGTCACGTGACTCACATTTTTGATGCGCATGAAGGAATCTATTCGGGAAATGTGTTTCCATCTCCCATTATTAGCATTAACCCTTTATCGCACAAGTCAAAAACCACCTCAAATGAGCGTAATTATTATTATTTTTTGCCGAATTAAGGGATTTTTTTTTTTCGAAATTTGGTGTTTCCGTTACTCGTTTCTGATGCGATACATCAAAATGAGCATAAACAAGCACAGGGAGAGTGCAAAAACAAATTAGAGTGAACTGCAGCAGCAGAACCTGTTTACCAAGAGCCCTCAGGTCCTGCCGCATAGTGCACCCAGTCAATTCATACTGCTCAGATGGGATCAATTGTGTGTTTCCATTCATAGAGAGACTGTGTCCTTGTTGTCTTTCTAAATTTGTTTGCATCTGTGTGTGTCTGCAGACTCACCCGGAGTTCCAGCCAGTGCTAACGCACACCAGCTCTTCCGCGGCTTCAGCTTTGTGGCCTCTAACCTGGATCAAGAACAGCCACTGGCCGAGACGAAGCAAAATTCTGTTAACCCCATTGTACAGGTGAGCAGGACTCTGAGAACTCTTATGGAGATTTATGATGGCAACCATCCACAAGTCACTCAACATACCTTAGCGAGTGCATAGCAACATAAGTTATAAGCTACTAAAAATACTGTAGCAAAAGTATAGAAACTAAAAGCTATTTAAAAAAATACTGAAAATACATTAACTGTTGTAGCAACATGCAAAAACAACTCAAAATGCATATAGCGACGTGTTAAAAGCCACTCAGAATTCCTTAGTAAACCTATAACAACTAGAAGCCATTCAAAATACCTTAGCAGCCACATAGTGACACGCAAAAAACAGTTAAACTACATTAGCACATGCAGCAACATGCTAAAATCAACTCAAAATACCACAACTGCACAGCCATATGCTAAAAGCCACTTAAAGTACCTCAGAAAACCTAAAGAATCTAAAAGCCATTCAAAATACATTAACAACCACATAGTGACATGCAAAAAACACTTCAAATACCTTTAGCAACATGCTAAAATCAACTCAAAATACCGTAAATGCATAGTGAATGCTAAAGATCACTCAAAATACCTTAGCAACTGCTTAGCGACGTGCTAAAAGACACTCAAAATAACTTGTATACCAACTAAGGCTATGTTTACACGACAAAAATGTAGTTAAAAACTGAAAAGTTTTTCCCTTGCATTTTTAAAAAGTTTCACGTATACACGACAACGTTTCAAAACGATTCACGTTTACACATATCCGCGAATACGGCCAAAAACACTGTATTACGTATGCCAGGCCAGTAGTTGGCGCTGTCACCTTGTTAGTAAACAGTACCTGCACTGTTTTCAAAGATTCCCGTTTTGGGTGTTTACACGGAAACGATAAAGGTGGCATTTTCAAAAACGTGCACTTTGAAGCCCGTTTTCAAAAATATGCTTTTTTAGTCCCCAAAACGCCGTTGTCGTGTAAACGAAAAGGCAAAACGCATAAAACGTTTCCCGTTTTTGGCTGAAAACGTTGTCGTGTAAATGGCCCCTAAAAGCCATTCATAATATTTCAGCAACCACATAGCGACATGCAAAACACTTAAAATACCTTAGCACATGTAGCAACATGCTAAAAAACAACTGAAAATAGGGCATAGTAAGATGCTAAAAAAAAATGTAAACACTCTAAATACCTTTAAAGTACCCTAGCAACCACCCACATCACCTATGCATCAATGCAGCAAATTTTGCACTGGCAAACTTCACCTCCCATTTCTTCAGAAAATGTACAGATGTATTTTCGTTCGTGATGCAAGCATGCCCGCAGTAGTCACGATGATACAATAGAGTGATGAAAAAGAATCAATATTTCACTTATGCTTGCTTTGCTACATTGAGGGCTAGTTGCTGACATGTAAGAGATATTGCAGTCAGCCGAGCCAAAGTTGTTTTCTGTATCCGTTTAACCTTGGTCTGGCTGTACACACGCAGTCAATTCAGACCTATTCCTCAGGGAAGCACTGTTGTGTTGCACAGCACAAAACAAGAAGAAAGAGAAGGAAAAAAGAGCCCTGTTTTATATAAGCTGAACTAATTCTGCCAGATGGTTCATACCTGAAGAGTTGCTTTATTGAAGTGTCTGAGCTATGGCGGCAGTGACCGGAATGAGATGTATTGATTGGCGAGAGCGCACTGGCACACGAGCGCCGTTGTCTAGATCATTGTGATCTGATGTGGCATCTGCCGAGCATACGATATTAACTTACCCTGATAGCACTCATGAACATGCATGAGTGCAGCTATTTGTGGAGAATTTCTAAACCTGTGCCCTGAATTGCTTTTGTTTTCGGGAGTCGTTTCGTTTACCTGAAGATGCTGTCGGTTATTTGCATCTGTGACATATATGTCTGTTTCACTTTTAGCCAATGAATATAAATGTTTCTCCATGCACTGTTACAAAGCACTGAAGACTAGATTTGTATTTCCTGCTTGCAAGGTAGCAAAATAATGGTGTTAAAGTTTTAACATCAGGTTACTCCTGGAGGACAGTCAGTGCAGTGAGTGTGTTGTAAGATGCTTGGGGTTAAATCATCATCTACAGTGGACACTGAAGCCACACTTCAACATGTATGAATGCTATTGCATTAGATTACAATAAATGATAAAACTGCTCAAGAAGGAGACTGTTAGTGGAAAGTTAGTGGAACATGTCCACAGTTGAAGTAGTGTTGTCATTTTACCACTCATAATGTCATATAATTACTCAGTATATTAATGCGTGTTGTTTATTGCAGCAGCTTCATGGCAGCAACATTCATTTCACTGACGGCTATGAGTTGAAGGAGGATATCGGCATTGGAGCATATTCGGTCTGCAAACGTTGTGTCCACAGAATCACCAGTGTGGAGTATGCTGTCAAAGTAAGTATGAAATCTAATCCTGAAAAGCACTATGCTCTTCGTGTGACAAAACACACAGTGCAGAGTGTTATTTAGTGAACAGCAGAGGCAGTGGCTGTTTCATAAGAGGTTTTTTGATGAATTGCCATAGAGGACAGCATCACTCAGTGTCAGTCGAAGCTTTATCAGACACCGCTGTGACCAGCCCACTTCATTTCAGATTATTGACAGAGCCAAGAAGGACCCGTCTGAAGAGATCGAGATTCTTCTGAGATATGGCCAGCACCCAAACATCATTACTCTGAAAGATGTGAGTCACACTTAAAAAAATGCTACTTTAGTTTTATGGACACCTACTAGGCCAAAGTAGTCAAGTATTTTTTTTTTCAATTTACCGTATTGGCCCGAATATAAGATGACCCTGATTATAAGACAACCCCCCTTTTTCCAGATGTACCTTTTGGAAAAAGGCTTTTTAAAAACCAAATCTTGTTTTTTCTCAGTAAAACACATTTTGTCTTCAATTATTTTCATATTGCATATTTTTCCTATTTTAATTTTAGTTTTGAAAGTATGGTAAAAACTGGTAAAATGTACCAACAATCACATTTAAAAAATATACACTTTTTGATATACCATTTAAAAAAAAAAAACAGGTAGCCCATCTGAATTAGGACATTTAGGCTATCCATCTAATAGTAGCCTACCAAAATCTTATTAACAGTAGAAGTTAAATCTTACTGTAGTCTTCAAATCTGGGTACTGTCTTACGTTTTAAAATCACAAACGGAGTTTGGTCCCATCAGGCTAATGTGACAGTCACGACTCATGCAGCTGTAAGGTTTTCTTTTGTTTTTACTCGAGATCTTTACAACACGCATAACATTACGTATTTCATGGCACACTCGTTTTATGCGTATTTGGCGCCACCTATTGTTGTGGGTGTATTATTGACATGTCAAAGTCTCCACCCTGAATATAAGATGACTGCGTTTTTTCAGATGTATTTCCAAGAAAAAAACATTGTTTTATATTCGGGTCAATACGGTAATCTGTGCCCATGATTTTGTAATCTCATTCATTTTAATGAGAAAAATTTATTTAATTAATCAAATTAAATTAAATTAAATTGATAATTTGTAACTTTTCTGTCTAAATAGATCTAAATATCTATTATTTTATCATGAAGATAAAATGATATTAAATTAGTTAATAGAGGTTTTCTATTTTTAATTTCATATAGTGTAGTTTTCAATAATACATTTCTATTTTGCCTATACATGTTTATTGAATTAAATTGGACTATAGTAGGAGACACTTCATTTCCCAGAATGCTCTAATTTACTTATTTACTTCTAATAAATAGTGGATAGATTCCAATTTTGATGTCAATGTTCATTTTGATGAAGTTAAGTCTGGATTTGGTGTGATTAGCTTAGAAAAATGCCTAATTAGTTGGGGGGAAAAGTATTCTTCATATCAGAGAATAAGTAGACATAATTAGTGCAAATTAAAATGATTTTCTTACTTAGTATTTATATTAACTTGTTTTCTAGTAAAAATATCTAAACATTCTTGATTCAAGATGAATTTACTTGAGAAGCAAAATTACTTCCGATATTAAGTCTTGTTTTCTGAAAAAAAAAAAAATGTATCATCAATAATTTGTTAGTTTTTGTTTAGAACAAGAAACATTATCTGCCAATGGAGTAAACAAAAACAAACAAAAATCTTAATTCAAAGGGCTTATTTATTTATTTTTTAATGATTTTTCTTAGCCTATTGGTGTAAAGGAGGTCAGCGGTTGGTGCTGTGCAGGTAAACCTCACTCCCCTGATCTCAAGAGACGCACTAGCGACTGACGCTAGTGGCTGCAGTCTTTAACCTCCTTGTTAGTGCGTCCGCCTCCTATGCGGGAGACCCGGGTTCGAGACCCACTCAGAACGAGGTGTGGCGGTGAGGACCCGGGAGAGAGGGGTTACATTGGTGCCGTGACCCGGATTGGAGTGAGGTTTAGGGGGGTGAGTGTAACGGAGGCCAGCGGTTGGTGCTGTGCAGGTAAACCTCACTCCCCTGATCTCAAGAGACGCACTAGCGACTGACGCTAGTGGCTGCAGTCTTTAGCCTCCTTGTTAGTGCGTCCGCCTCCCATCCCGGAGACCAGGGTTCGAGACCCACTCGGAACGAGAGCGAGGTGTGGCGGTGAGGACCCAGGAGAGAGGGGTTACATTGGCAGATAGTTTTTTCTTGTTTTAAGCAAAACTAACAAACTTTTGACTTTTTTTTTTCCTCAGAAAACAGGACTTAGTATCTTAAGTCTCAAGTATACTGTATGTGTCTTGATTTAAGAATGTTTAGATATTTGTAATGGAAAATAAGACAAAAATACTAAGAAAATCTTTTTTTTGCAGTGATAGCTAATGGACTAATGAAACTCCTCTGTTGAGTGTTGAAATTCCTCGGATTCAGTTTCAAATTAATTTTCCTGTCATTTCAATTCAACATCCTGTGTGTTGTGGTCAATTCTGATCGAAAAAAGGAGCTCATTTTCAAATTCAGAATTTTGCCGAACACTCCAGCCTACTAACAGAAGGTTTAATGTCTTTTAAGGCCTTTATCTCAGCTGTCTTACCATGTTAACCTGCTTTACCGTTGATCCAGTTTCACAAGTTTTCTTCCGGTTGCGTAAGGCCTCCTGGGCTCCCTCTGATCTGCTGATGTCTGTGATTGAAAGCTGCATCACTGCAGTGTGATGGAGACAGTGAGCTGAGCTGTGCTGTGCTGTGCTGTGCTGTGTGCTGCAGGTCTATGATGATGGCAAGTTTGTGTATCTGGTGATGGAGCTGATGAGAGGAGGAGAGCTGCTGGACCGGATCCTGCGGCAGAAGTGCTTCTCAGAGCGTGAGGCCTCAGCTGTGCTCTGCACCATCACCAAGACTGTGGAGTATCTGCATTCACAGGGGGTCAGTTTGCATGTGGTCACAGTGGAGACGCTAAATAGTTACTTGTTTAGTTGCTACTGAAGATAAAAGTGCCATAGAAGTTCTAATACAGCAAATTGCACAGATTTTGGAATGTACTGCATTATTGTTTCTGCGTCTGTGTCCAGGTTGTGCATCGAGACTTGAAGCCCAGTAACATCCTGTATGTCGATGAAATAGGTGACCCAGAGTCCATCAGAATATGTGATTTTGGGTTTGCCAAACAGTTAAGGGCTGAAAATGGTCTGCTCATGACACCGTGCTACACTGCAAACTTTGTGGCCCCAGAGGTACTTTTCGATACAGTACATATTTCTTTTCAGTGTTATGATTTATTAGTTTCTAAAAAACTGTCAAATGACAACCCTGTGATTCATCCAGGTCCTGAAGAAACAGGGATATGATGCCGCCTGTGATATCTGGAGCCTGGGAATCTTACTGTACACCATGCTGGCAGGGTAAGTTGAGTCTTATGTTATATATTACATATACACTACCTTTCAGTTTGGGGTCAGTCGGATTTTTGAATATAATACAACTATACAATATACTTTTATACAGGAAGGATGCATTAAATTGCTCAAAAGAGACAGTAAACACTTTATTTCTTTTCATTCTTTCGATTTCAGCATTGTGACATTGAAGACAAAAATGAAAATTCAGTCCCAGTTTAAAAAAATATTAAAATAGAAAACAGTTAGTTATTTAAAAATGTAATATTATTTCACAATATTAATGTTTGTACTGTATTTATCAAATCAACTTATGAGCATAAGAGACTTATTAGACAAAAACATATTAAAAATCTTACCGACCCCAAACAGTTTATACAGTAGTGTATGAAGTATAAATACAATCACAACTTTTACAGCCAAGTTTGGACATTTCTGATTACATTTTTTTGTTGTTTCTCGTGATATTAAAAACCTTCAGATCCAATTAGTTAAAAAATCGTTTTTTAAGCAATTATAAATTCTATCTACATTTTATTATTATTATTGTTATTATTACTAAACTGTACAGTAATTTTAATAAAGACGGTAAAATGGCTGAGATGGTAAAGGTAAAGCAGGTGTCAAGTGTCCAGGATACATGTGAACTCCTTACTGTTTAAAAAGCATCCCAGAATGCACCTCATCTGCTCATCAAATCTAGATGATGACAAATTTGCAGAAATTACGAAATGTGATTAGTGAATGTAACTATTTAATGACCTTACTGTTGTTCTAATGTGTGGAAAATAGTAAAAAGTAATCAAATTAAGAATAAGTTTCTGTATCCAAACCTGGTACTTCACAATTTTAGTTGTAATATGGTATTATAGTTAAAAATTCAACTCTGTTTAAAAAGTTAAACAAAACAAGCAACCAGAATAGCCACATAAAAAAAGCTTCACATGCAACCATACTGCAATGTTGTTGTTGTTTCGCCCTCTCAGTAGAACCGATTCTATTTGTTGCTTTGAATGAACTGACAATATTAATCTAGGCATGCTAACACTCTTTCTCCCATCAAGTGCCCAGCCTTAATTTTCTTCACTTTCTGCAACATTATGATTGACCTATCAACACAAATAAATCAAAACTCTATGAAGCACATCCTTTCTCCCAATGCTCGGATGAGGGACTAATTTCTAGAGCAGGGTGGAGGGGATTACTAGGTAAACTGGGTCAAGTCACAGAGTAATTGTACTGAACACAATGCCAGAGCTATCAGAAGCCAAGCAGCACTCTCAATTTAATGTTCCTGACTATGGATTGAGCTTTAAACCTCTGTGTAATCAGAACATTTGGAAAAAAAGAAAAAAATATCATCTCACTCTTCTGACCTAGCCATATGTGTACACTAAAAATAATTCGGTGGAAATGGGGGGTATTGTATAAAAAAGCCACTCTTTTCTTTCTCTTCTCACCCTATCTCTGTAAGGGCGCATTCACAAGTTCTTTCACACACTCAGCTCTCGTTCTGTCCCACAGTTTCACACCCTTCGCTAACGGCCCTGACGACACACCAGAAGAGATCTTGGCTCGCATTGGCAGTGGGAAATTTGCCCTGTCAGGAGGCAACTGGGACACGGTGTCTGACGCAGCCAAGGTCAGCTTCCTGATTTCTGCATGTTGAGATTAGGCCTGGCCAATACAGTATATAGACAAATATGTGACCCTGGACCACAGAACCAATATTAAGTGTCAATTTTTCAAAATTGAGATGTATACGTCATCTGAAAGCTGAATGAATAAGCTTTCAATTGATGTGTGGTTTGTTAGGATGGGACAATATTTGGCAGAGATACAACTATTTGAAAATCTGGAATCTGAGGGTGCAAAAAAATCAAAATATTGAGAAAATCGCCTTTAAAGTTGTCCAAATTAAGTTCTTAGCAATGCATATTACTAATCAAAAATTAATTTGTGATATATTTACAGTAGGAAGTTTACAAAATATCTTCATGGAACATGATCTTTACTTAATATCCTAATGATTTTTTATAGAGGGGTAATATAGAGGATAGATATGGCATCAAGTAATGTTTCTTGGATAATAGTACATACACTACCAAGTTTTTAATAGACTTTTTTTTATGCTCACTAAGGCTACCTTTATTTAATCAAAAATACTGTTAAAAAGCGTAATATTGTAAAATATTATTACAACTGAATATAAGCATGTTCTATTTGAATATGTATTAAAATGTAATTTATTCCTGTGATGCAAAGCTGAATTTTCAGCATAATTTCTCCAGTCTTCAGTGTCACATGGTCCTTCAAAAATCATTATAATATGCTGATTTGCTGCTGATCTGCTCAAGAAACATCATTAATGTTGAGAACAGCTGCTGCTTCATCTTTTTGAGGAAAAACGTGATACTTTTTCAGGATTCTTTAATGCATAGAAAGTTTAAATCATCAACAAACAATTTATTTGTAATAGTAATCTTTTGTAACAACGTAAAAACTGTCTACTTTCACTTTTTAATAATTTTATGTGCCCTTGTTGAATAAAAGTATTAATTTCTATAAAAGAAAATCTTTCTGACCCCAAACCTTTGAACAGTACTAACTTGAAATATAGTTGCATACAGTTTTTAACTGTCACTTTAAATGACCACACTATTTGTGCTTCCACGCTGTATAATTTAGGATATATTAATCAATCCTATCATTTCCTAGGGGGCGATGGCTGCCACATACTCCGCTTTGAATCGGTCACCTCAGGCCCCAAAACTGGAGCCAGTGCTTTCTTCCTGTCTGGCTCAGAGAAGAGGCATGAAAAGACTCACATCCACTCGTCTATAGCACTCCAGCCAGACACTTGAGCTTCTACAGCTTTAAGAAATGTCAGAGCGCGCAGGCTTCGGACAAGGCACCAGGCGACCGCCAAAGCATCCGGAGCAGAGTGGAAAAATTGGATTGACCACAGAGTGTCAGAGCAATCTCCAAAGAGTGAAAAATGATCTGCTAAGTGTCTCTGCTGATGTCAAGAGATTGATGAGGGCCAGATGCAAACATCACGGCTGTCAGGGCTCAAAAACAGCTCTTTCAGAGCGTGACGTGGGGTTTGTGTATGTGTGTGTGTGTGTGTGTGTGCACCCCTGTGAATTTCAGGTGTGTGCATCTTGAAGTGTTTAGTTTTAATGGTGCATAACAAAGATCGCAGTTATTGTTCCCAAACGGTGTGCAGTCAGTTGCAAAGCCAGTCGTTCATAAAAGTTGCTACTACTTGCTGCAGACACTTCAGTTAGAGCCATGTAGAAGTTAGTAGAAGATGCTTTGGTCTATCATGGTGACAGTGCTGCACCTTAAGCTATGTGCCAGCATCTTTTGAACATGCATGCCATGTACAGTATGTATTTTTATGACAAACTAATGGTTCTAACATGCTAGTGAAAGCACAAAGAGCATTGTTCATGTTGTTTTTGGTTTACTAGTAACCTTCTTTAATGTCCCAGTTTTACTCTGTTTTGTCTGATTTCATTGGTCTTATGTAATGCTGAGGCTACAGAAAACAGCTGTTTTTAATTTACTTATTGTTTTCATCTTGCGTATTTGCACCACGTTGTTTTTAAATTATTTATTTATTTATAAATAATTTTGATATGCACGTTTATTTCTATTTCTGTTTAATTATTTAAATATTTATGTGTTTATTAAAGATACCCGGTACCTTTTTTTTTATCTTTTTTTGTTTGTTTGTTTTTAAGTGACCTTTATGCATTAACACCTAAACCTAAACAAGTGCCACACCTTTGCACTAGATTGATTGAATTATGCTAAAGAAATAAAAGAAAAACTTTAAAGAATATAATCATGTGCATGTATTTTCACTTTCATGGAAATGTAAAAAAAATAAAATAAAATAAAATGTGTAAATGCAGTTTGAACTAGACTACCAAATTGTATCTTATTGTAAAGTCTTTAATGATCTTGAAAACACATGATACGCTTTATGTAGGTCATTATCTATTATTTATTATAATCTTCTATTCGTTTATTTTAGAGTTGACCAATGTTACGTCATTCTTCCATTAAAAGTCAAAACTTGCCTATATGCATTCATTCATGAAAGTGTATTAGGACATCTGTTTTCCACACATAACACTCTCTGCTCTGTGAAACTTATTTAAGGATATTCAGAAATTATGTTTGCATGCCATACACGATTTGTAGCAGCCTCTGAAAGTTTATTGATAGCAGTACAGATGAAAATAACCTTAATTTTGTATGAAAAAGTGACTCTCTAGAAGACAGTCCAGTATTTTTGTATGAATATGATCAACACCGTTTCCAAAATGAAGCTCTGTTAAGCAGAGAAACACATTCTGGGCTGTTTGAAGACCTTCAGCCAAACACTTTATCTTTTGCTGGTGTGGCTTATTTTTTTTACGTGTGAAATGTGAAGCTTTTAATTTTTGTTGTTGTTAATGCTTATGCTAATGCTATGTTGTTAATGCTTTTTTTTTTTTAAAACAATACCCCAAAACAAGTTTGTCCATGCATTAGTGTTTCTACTAGCTACACAGTTAATGCTGTACATCAGACGGTGGCTACAAACCAAACAGCAATAGCATTAGGATCTGTCCTTGCTAGAAAAGATTTTTACGTGTGAAATGTGAAGCTTTGAATTTTTGTTGTTGTTAATGCTTATGCTAATGCTATGTTGTTAATGCTTGTTTTTTTTTAAAACAATACCCCAAAACAAGTTTGTCCATGCATTAGTGTTTCTACTAGCTACACAGTTAATGCTGTACATCAGACGGTGGCTACAAACCAAACAGCAATAGCATTAGGATCTGTCCTTGCTAGAAAAGAAATTATACTTTTATGTCCTGTGTTGGCTAACAATTTACAAATAAACAACATCAAAATCTGATCGAACTGGTCACAGTATTACTATTGTGTGTGGTAGGCCTACTTAATGAATTTTGGACCATATCCGGTTCTTGAAATTGATGGTACAATATAGTGTGTGCAACTGTGTACTGTACATACACTTATTCATAACAGTGTCCTGGAAGGGACGTTTTCAAGTGCATTCATATTTAATTCCTGCAAAAATGGCAGGACTTGGGATGATGACGACAGGTATCTAAACAAACAGTACAAAGCTGGAATCAAAAGTCTCTCATTTTAAAAAATGTATATGTTTAGAATACAAGTTTGTTGTATAAAGAATATATAAGGATAACTAGTCTAGCACATCCTTGTACAACAGAATTTGACGGGCACTTTAAAAACTACATTTTCGCAATGCCCGCCGCCTGCGTCGTGATTGGCTGTCGAGCTTCAAAAGCTGTCTATGATTGGTTAGTTTGGGGGTCACTCGTTACAGTCCGCCCAACCATTGCACTCAGCGATTAGATGAAGGGCGGGGCTTATGGGAATACGGGTGGGGAAAAGTAACGTCCTTTTTGTGTCAGTGCTGAACTTCGAGGAAGTGTTGGATAATTTCAACAAGGCACTGTTTCACCTGCCGAGCAACGATGGACAAGTTGCGTCGTGTATTAAGTGGTCGAGAGGAAAATGAAGAAGTGGGACTTACAGCACAGGTACAACAAGGAGAACGTGTGTTTGTTTGCAGTGTGTCTTCGTCTGTAATTGATAGGCCCCATAGAGTTTATGTAGTACTGTAAATTCACAGTGTTGGTATTTTTAACTTCCTTTTAGTTCTTACTTAGTACTATTATACAGTAGAGGTAGCAGATATTAATACCATGGTAATGGATGAATGCCATATTTATACAGCATGGTACTCCAGTCTCCTTCACAGAATACTATGGTAGTATGTTATTACCATCATGACAATGTTAAATAATAAAAGCAACAACATGATATTACCATTCTGTGTTATCACAAACCGTAGTAATACCATGGTGCAATTTAGTCAGGAGAAATAGTCTACATAAAGAGATTACAGTGCAGTGTTGCTCTTTTTCTGGTCTGTCTTCTGTTTGTTTGCATATAATTGTTATGTGATAATGATATTTCTTAACACATTGCTGATTTTACATGCTTCCTGAGATGAAGGATCATGTGAGGTAAGGTCATGACCTCCGGATGTTGTTTAGTTTCGGAAACTGGGCTTTAAACACTGTTGCAGAGCTTAGTTGTTTTTCCATTTAAAATAACACTAGATGTTTTACATACAGTAGTGTCTTAAAGGGTTCATGTCATGAGGGATCACGTTTTAATTGATCCCTTTAAGATAGAAAGTTCATCATACTTTTAAAAACATGCTGTAAGCTCTGCAGTGCTGTGATGTGTTGTTTTTCGTTATATTCTACGCATTTAATCCTCTGTAAAGTACTAGCCGTTCTGTTCATCTTACCTGTTTAGGCTGTAATGCATGATGGTCATCATGTGAATGATTATATGGAAAAGTCAGAACAATAGTACATTTTCTTCCTGTCTTGTTCTTCCTGTGGGTCTGCATATATAAATCAGAGGCATTTTAATGAATCAGATGCAGTCATAAGCAAGTTTAAAGCATGAACTCTTTGTTTGTGGGGCATTATGAACCATGTGACATCCTGTGATTCTTCCCCGTAGATCCTGGATAGCACAACACTCAGTTTCGGCACACGGGTGAAGTGGTTCGTCATTTGTTTCGCAGGAGGGGTCCTGTGCTCAATACTTGTGAGTTAACGTTCCTCATTATTTCCCCTTGATGGTCTTTATCTGTCCAACGATTTGCAGCCACACTGACCTAGTCCATTTCGAAGACTCTCAGTCATTTGTTGTTACGTTACTCTGAAATAGTTCACCCCAGGGCTGTAACTACCATAGACATTGAGGGAGACAAGTACCACACCCACAGCCCCCCAATAATGAGAAATGACCAAAATGTTCCCCCCAATTTGATGTAGTGCTGGGCGATATACCGGTTCATACCGAATACCGGTGTTTATTTTTGTTATTATATGACTTTTTAAAATACCGGTGTATGTTGCTTAAACAACGTTCGGAACGGGACACTGTTTGAAAGGGGTCCCTTTTCACTGGTGCACTGTGGTGAGGGAACAGCTGTATGGCTTGACAGTAAAATAGGGCATTCTAAGTCAGTATACTGCAGTATTTCCTCTCTCAATCAGTAGAAAATATGGTTAACACCCGGTCATGCATGAAAAAAAAATACCGTCATGTACCGTGAAACCGGTAGAATTTTGAAAAATACCGCGATATAAATATTTGGTCATACTGCCCAGCACTAATTTGATGTTTGACAATATTTGACAGAAGATTGAAAAGTTACGTTAACTTTATATTTTTGATAAATTGTCACCCCAAATATTTGATATTTGACAAGTTACATTTTTGATGGCCAAATTGTCACCCCCAATGTTTGATATTTGACAGTATATGACAAAAAAAAGTTTTAAAAGTTAGCGGTTCGCACTCGTCAATGTCAAAATGATTGAGAGGGCCAATCAAATCAAAGAAGGCGGGCTTTACTACTCACAAAAACTGCAAATTCCAGCACGTCTATTTGTTTTTTAACAGGGAAAGAGTGCGAGGTAAGATGAAATTACTTTTTAAATGTATTTATTTATTTTTAACGTTTTTAATTGGAAACAGGCTTTGTTTTAAGTGATTCGTGTCATTCAATTGAATGTGATGAGAATAGAACGATTTTTCTATTAATGTTGAATGGGTACATATTTTAAAATAAAAATATTATTTGAAAACACATATTTATAAAAATACATATTTTTGTTTTTACAGTTCTTTCGTTTTTCTTTCTCTTTATTCTTCTAAATCCATTTAAAATCTTAAATTATTTAATTACTTTAAATAAAAACACCACTCCCATTGGGTTATTTTAGATAAACCCCTAAAAAAAGATTCCCCCTCATAACCACGTAACGTCATGATGTGGTTATGGCCTTGTTTCACCCAAAATCAATTTAATTTTCTCACCCTCATGATGTTATTATTTAGACTAATAGGCTAATCTTCCCCAAAAATCTCATTCATATTTAGTTCATTTAAAAGTGCAATGGTACCAAGCACCATCGATCATTGCATGTCACATAAGCTCTTGCAATGCAGTGAATAGACTAATATATGCACAGTTTGAATATACTTGATCGTAAAAGATATTTGAGAAGTTTAGCCTAATAATAAATAACATGTTAAATTTCGGTTTCTCACAAAAAAAGGTAATGGACAGCAAAACACTGTTGCTTCTTGCAATGCAATACATGTGAAAACATAATCACAAATGGGTGAATTGAGCGCCCTAATGACGCCAACCTGTTCCTCTTCCCCCTCCCAGTTGCTTTCAGTTGGTGTGTGGTTTGGCCACAGCAGAGTGATAACACTTTACTGATAACACTTACAGCGGCAGTCATAAAGTATGCATGTGCAGACTGCTGTACATTATACCAGGGAGGATTTTTTTTTAAAACTAGAACACCTGTATGAATCAGAAATCCAACAAAAATTACATTGACACCAGTTTCTGGACTAGTCATTGCATGCAAACATGGTTAAACAAGTTAGTTCTAATAAAAGCTCTAGCTTTATTTAGCATACTATGTTGTGTGTGTGTGATATTTTGTTATCGAATGCAACAATAGCAATTAAGTTCCAAGCACTGTTTAGGGCCACTGTATATTTTATGTAGGGCAAAGGCTTTGTAACACCACTAGGTGGCAGAACGGTTTAATTTGTTCATGTACAAACTCTGAAATTGATTTTGTTATAGCACAGACATGTTGTTTCAGAGAAATGTTTGAAAATGGATTAACAAGCCTCATTACATCTTCTGAAACAGGGAACTGCACTCCTCTTCTTGCCTAATACTGGTGGTAAATTGTTTGCTGTATTCTACACCCTTGGAAATATTGCAGCACTTTCAAGGTAAGTGTAATTATGGCTGGGTTGTGGGCAAGCATGCAATGGCACATTCTCTAAAATGTTGATTCAGTGTCGTTATTCTGTATGTGTGATTAGATTTACTGTACATCAAGTGCTTTATAAGCCTAGTTTTGACACTTTCTACAGATATGCAACAGGTAAGAGGCACAAATCCCCCATTTTGGGGGTAAATTATTAAGTATGCATGCTACATAAAATGTTATCAAACATAAAATGAATAATTAGTGAAAAGAACATATTTTTGCAGACATAAAATATTAGTGTTGTCGCCTTGACGGCATGCAGGCTTAACCATTCGACCCAGCTACCAAAATGATTGTAGCAATCACATATTTTCTTTAATTTAATATACATTTATCAGTGACTACAACATTTGGGATCAAACTGGTCAGCCCCTATTCATTGACAGCTTAATTTTGGCTAAATCTACAAACTTGTTATCCTTCTGTCTTCTGCATACATACAGTACACTCAAGTATAACAATATATATTATATAGCAAATGTCGACTGCCTCTTTTTTTTTTTCTTTTTTTTTTTTATTTATTTTTTATTGCAAAATGTAACTATATTATCACCCAGCTCTTTATTTTAAAGGGGTCATATGATGTGATTTAAATTTTTCCTTTCTCTTTGGAGTGTTACAAGCTCTTGGTGCATAAAGAAGATCTGTAAAGTTGCAAAGACTAAAGTCTCTAAAACGGCTCGTTCTAACACGCCCCCACATGTCTACGTCGCTATGTGGGAAGATTTGCATAACGCCGCCCAAATGTTCACGCAAAGAAAGAAGGCGTAACTTCTCGTTTATAATGGGTTTTAATGTTTTTGTCTCGTCGCTCCGGACGGGCAGGGCACCACAATATGGTAAGGGGCATAACATTTCCGTCACACGCTTGATGAATTCGGCTAATCACAACGCACCGGATAGCTGGCCAATCAGAGAACACCTCGCTTTTCAGAACGATGAGCTTTGTAAAAATCGACGCGTTTCAGAAAGGTGGGGCATAGAGGAGAAACAATAATGTACAGTATGTGGAAAATGTGTTTTTTGAACCTTAAACCGCATAAACACATTTCATTACACCAAATACACAAAATAATGTTCTTTTTAGCAACATCATATGACCCCTTTAAAATGGATATATGAGTGCATGTGCATGCATACATCCACAATGCAGTAGGGTGATAAATACAAATCTCAAAAGCAAATCTCAACTGCTTGATTGCGTGTATTGTTCGAAAATGTAAACTATTAGAAAATGATATAGACCTATTATATTAGAAAATTATGTAAGTTATATTAGAGCCCAGCTCTAGTCTTCTTAATGCAACTGTACGGCATGAAAATATTAAGATATTCTAAACATTAACATCATGATTTTTTTGTGAAGCTGCTTTGAAACAATATGCAGGGTTCCTATGCAGTTTGCAAAAGTATGGACTTTGATTTTAGTATTTTCTAGGTCTGGAAAAGTATGGAAAAATTTTTGTGTTTCCAGACTATTACCCTATTGTGTTTTCTAAAACAGAAAATTTAGAATTTCTAAAAAGAAATGTATCATAGAAGCAGAGGGTTTTTCATGACAAAGTGTGAAATAGGGTTGGCTGGATAAAAAATATCGATATCTCGATATTAATCGATTCTCATTTTTACAGAATGATATTGATTCTTAAATCCCAAGAATCGATTAGTCTAGCCCAGGGGTAGGCAAGTTCGGTCCTAGAGAGCCGCAGTCCTGCAGAGTTCAGCTCCAACCCTGAAAACAAAACTCACCTGCCTATAGCCTTCGTAATCCTGAAGACATTGATTAGCTTGTTCAAGTGTGTTTGATTAGGGTTGGAGCTCAACTCTGCAGGACTGCGGCTCTCTAGCACCAAACTTGCCTACCCCTGGTCTAAACTGTGTTCAGTTAGTGGACGGAACATTGAAGGGCACGTCCCATCCAATAAATCGCAATAAGCATTGTGCTTTGGTACTTTTAATATGAAACAAAGCCTCAGATTTCAAATTCTGTCCATTGTATTGCAATATTCAAACAATAAATGCCGTTTTGGCGCTGTTTAATGTGGAGTGAGTGACAGATCGCTGTAGCACCTCAGAACAACAGACGCGGCAGAGCGAGGCGTGCGTGAATTGATCATCTCCTCCACATTAATACCAGTTCCAGCACAAAATAAACATGTATAATAAACAGTACAACTTTACAATTCGTATCCTGTCTCATGTAATCACTCAATCAGTGTTTCAGTCGCGCAAAGACGTCAATATAACAGCTTGTTAACAATGTCACGTAACGTCACATTTACCTCAGAAAAAAACATATTCGGTGACCATAAACTCATTAATCAGATAGAAAAATAAACTGTAGAGAGGGGCATTTTGCTAAATATATGCACCATATAACATACTCATTATACATTTTACTGTTCTTCAATGTTTAATTTATGTTTGAAAAAATCCATCAAGTTTTTATGACAGCCACCATTATGTTTATATTTCTTAAGGAATTTTTTTTTCTTGAGAAAATTTGGCGTGTGCTGTACCTGATATACATCCAAAATAATCGATATTGAATCGAATCGGTAATCGAATCGAATATATATATATATATAAAACAAACATTCATATTGAACTTTTCTTCATTCAGACTTTGTTTGTAGTGTTGTCAAAAGTACCAGTATATCGGTACCAAGTCAGTACTGAAACTTTAAATATGTAATGATCTGGCATTCTTTAGGAGTGGCGGCTGTTTTCAATCGGTCCTGTGTGTATTTGTGTGAGCGCTCTAAGAAGAGTGTCAGAGGTTTCTATTTACAACCTGTTTTCACAGCATTGAGCACTGTAGCCATTCGCCCAGGGGTGTCCAGTCCTGCTCTTGAAGGTCCACTGTCCTGCATTCAGATGCTCAATAAGCATGTCTAAGTTAGAGAGAATCCACTCCATACCGCTTGAAACACTGCAGGAAAATGTGTCCCAAATCCAATTTGTTTTGCTCATATGTGACCCAGATCATTTAGTTTCATGACAGTGTGAACAGCACAGACCACGTGGAATCTGATCTTTTTGATTCTGATTTGGGCCACTTCCATATGTGGTACTAAATCTGATTCAGGTTAGGTGTTTTGCAATGCGACCACAGTCCGAATGATCATATTGCAATTCATGGTGACTTGGACTCTAGATCGACATAAGTCATAATTCCCCGCTGACTGACGGGAGTCACTTCAAAGATTTTACATAGCGGTAGTTCTTTAGTCACTTGTTGAACATGACGGAGGTTGTCGGGAGAGGCAGTAAGATGTTGTTTTACAGTGTATTACAGTGACGGCTCTATATAGCCATCTAAAATAAAATGAGAAATGATGCTTTGCCAAATAATTGAAATGAAATGTTACATTTAATATTTTAATTTATTTCAGTTAACATTTATTTTAATGTTTTTTTATTTTTTATTTGTTATGGTCTTTAGTTTTAATTTAATTTTGTCTTGTTGTTTTTTTGTGCATGCGGGTCAGTTCAGCACCGTCATTCGTTCACATTGCAATCTGATGTTGGCCACATTTAAAAATAATGTGAACAGCCATAGAAAAAAAATCAGATCTAAGCAATAAATCGGAATTGAGCACTAATGCTTGCAGTGTGAGTGTAGCCTAATAGACTTGTTCTATATAACGAGTTTCTTTGTTCTTCATTTTATTACTAACATTTCACTTGAAATTTTTAAAGCGATGTTTACATACTTAAAAAAGTGTTTATTTAAAGGCACAATATGTAAGATTTTTTAATTAAAATATCCAAAAACCACTAGAACAGTGTTATATATTTCGCTGACTTGTGTACTTACATTATCCCGAATGTTTAAATCCAGAGAAATAAGCAATTTTAACTAGTGACACGGAGCGTTTCCATAGTGTCATTGTGTCGCCTGCCAATGACGTCATAACCCCTCGATTTCCGGTTTTGTTTTGTAGAAAACATGGAAACACCAAAGACGCTTTAATATGCTATGCATTTTATTAGACAGGTGACGACCGCACAGAGTAGCATTATAACAGAACGTTCAAATTTATCTAGTATGATAAAACAGCGCTGCTGCTTTCTGGAAGGAGCGGAAGCGGTCGACTGTGGCATAATAAAAGCTCCGCTGCTTTCGAGCCATGTGTCGCGCTCGTTCAGCGGCCTCATTTCGCTTCGACGGCTTTCAGCCTCACTCTGCTTCATACTACGACGTTAATAAATCTTTAATACATTAGCTCATCCATGAACATGATTTCTGCCCGAGTCCCATCGGATTGCATCGGCTGTGGTGATGAAGACGACAACTCCCATGATTCCACACTCAGTCACGGCGTCATCTAACTATGCCTTTGTTTCTTTGTTTGTTTTGAATATGCGCCCTGTAGTGGCAAAAAATTACATATTGTGCCTTTAAGGCTACATGCTGTGTTAATGTATTATTATTATTATTATTTGTATTAGCACTAATAATTAACTATTTATTTATTTATCCCTAATAGTTCCAGTAGTTTTTGCTATGGTACAGAGAACCGTGATATTTTGGTACTGTGACAACAATATTTATAGGATTGTGAGAGTATCAGATTGTGAATTCAGTATTGTGAATTTGAACCTATAATCTTTACACGCTAAGTCCTTTGTTTTTTAAATATGGTCTGAAAACTCAAAAAAGTCTGAAAATTTGAGTCTGGAAAATTTGAAATAGAACATGTGTAGGATCTAGGGATGCACCGATACCACTTTTTCCAGTACTCGCCCGATACCGATACTTTTATTGTTGGTACTTGCCGATACCAATATTTTATTGCATTTGTAATTTTTTAAAATATTGGGTACAGAAACCAAAAGAGTATGTATAATGTTAGTTGGTTAACTTAATTTATCAAATAGATACAGTCAAACCCCCTTCACCTTCAACATTTCTCACATTATCACAGTTTATTCGCTATAGTTTAGAAAATGGTA